ATTTAAAATAAAATTTATAAAATTTAACATTGTAAATTATTCAATAATATGTGATCTGATAACTCAAAAATTAAGTTATAAAATGATAATTATATTTATTTATATACTCTAACACATCTTACATACAAGATAAATTCATAAGTTTGTTGAAAGATAAATTTATATTCTAGTCACGATTTTGAAATTATATAAAGAAAAAAAAATTGTGTACCTCATGTTAAAGGAAGTATATATAAAATTGTTAATAAAATATAAGTTCATTAAGATAATATACATAATACTTCAAAAAAAAACTTTTAAATTCTAATAATAAAAAATTGTCTTGTAGATTGCGACGGTTTATAGTAAACCATCGCAATGCTGAAAATTTTGCGACAGTTTATGATTAACTGTTGCAATGTTAAAAAAATTTTGCGACGATTTATGATTAACTGTCGCAATGTTAAACAAATTTTGCGACGGTTTACGATAAATCGTCGCAATGTTGAACAATTTTGTGACGGTTTATGATAAACCGTCGCAATGTTAAACAAATTTTGCGATGGTTTACGATAAACCGTCGCAATGTTGAACAATTTTACGACGATTTTGAAAAACTGTCATATGAAGGGTCGCAATATCAAAGCAATGACGGTTTCTAGATAACTGTCGCAATTTGTCCGTCGAATCTTACGAAATCCTAAACCAATACACCCCCCTAAGTCATCGAGAAGAATTAAAAGTTTCTTTAAAAAGTATAGAGGAACAGGTCCAAATATTAAATACTCGGCTGAGGCCATTAAGATAGTATTAGCCAAGAGAACAATTTTAATCTAATATGTCCATTTTTTCTATACTTCCGATTTTATATACAAAACTTAAATATCTAATTCACTAAAATAAGGAAAAAAAATTAATTTAATTAATAATAATAAATTTATTAAAATTAATTAATATATAAAATTTTATGAATTAGATCTTATATAAATAATAATAATTGTTCTAAGAGGAGATAATATTAAAATTCCTGTAAATGTTCTTATTCTTCTATGCCCCACTTCTTTGCAGGCCCATCACCATACGAGCCCACTAAAAGATTCCGATCCAAGATTTTTAATCGCTTCTTTTCATCTTCCCACCGACCCTTAAATTTTTTATTTTATTTTTTATATTTGAAATTTGTATTCTTTTCCTCCTCCTCTAGAGTCACCCTCTCATAACTCATAACTCATTCCTAATCACTCAAACTCAACCTTTTTTCTTAAATCTTAATATTCTTAAAGCATCTTCTCACTTTCTCTTTTATACACATTACTATTCTTTTCTGTCTTTTTTAGGTGAGTTTCCACACTTCCATCTTCTTTTAGGATTTTATTTGATGAAAAATAGCTTTTATTATGTTAAAATACACAATAAAAATTTACTTTCGCCAAAAGTATTTTTATAAAAAAAAAATGGGAGATGGAAAGGTCAAACAGGGGCAAAAATCATGGACCAAAGATTCCTAGGCTAGGCCTACAGAATAGTTTAAATTTTAGTGGAAATCATGATCATGTGAATTTAAGGTACAGAAGAATGCTAAAATTTATGCAAGACTTAACAAGTAATGATAATTATTACTACTACTGTACTATTTTTATTTTTGTTATGTTCAATGATAATTAGTACTGTTCTCTTTATTTACGAATTCTTTTTATTAGAAGTATTTTATAAATTCCTGCGAAATTCTATTAAGAAAATATGCTTAAAAATGAGCATATTTGCATATGCATTTGATTCCTCTGCCATAACCCCTTTAACGAGCATATGCATTTTCTATTAAGAAAATCTTTTTACGTGTAAAGCAGTCCAGCATGTGTTGGTGTAAATTTTATCATATCAATTAATTACAATTGAGGATTAAATATCTCTCAGAAATTTTCTTGTCATTCATTGTAACTAGCAAGTATATATTGTACTCAACATATAATTATAAATAAAAATATATATTTTTAAAATCACTTTAGTTTATTGAAAATAAAGATATAAATGCTTGAAAGTTTTATTTTTAAAAAGTAATAAAAGAGAGAGAGAAATTTAACCAGATATAAAATCTCACATAAGATGCATTACAAAAAAAAAAATTTAAAATCACATACAACATTATTATCTCATATTTTGGACTAAAGACTAAATTTATTGAAACTATTATAGAGGTATAACTAATTCAAACTTTAACTCCAAATGGTTAAAAATGAACTAATTCAATTTAAACCTTTTTTTTATATATAAGTCAGAGAGAGAGAGAGAAATATAAATTTGACCTGATATAAAATATCATAAGATACGCATTAAAAAAGTAAAAATAATAATAATAATAATAATAATAATAATAATAATAATAATCACATACAACATTATTATCTCATATTTTGGACCAAAGAGTTAAGTTATTGAAATTATTATATAGAGGTAAATTAACTAATTCAATTTAAACATTTTCTTTAGATGTATAAAAGTTGCTCCGAAAGTAAAACCTATAACCTCGTTCAAAATCCCACCACTATAATTATATTAGATTTAATTTAAAATCAAATTGATTATATGATCAAAGAACTGAACCAAATTAATTTCAAAACCGATTGGATTCAATATACAAACACAAGCAAATGCAGTAAAAAAAACTAAAAATAAAATTAAATAAAAAAGGACACCAAACAAGTTATTTTAACAGCATTTTATTTAAGCATCCCAAATATTTTTCCTAACCCTGAAACACAACCATCAGCAACATGCTGCGTCCAATGGGTGAACCAGAATACATATGAACAACTCGAGAAATGAAACAAGTACTGGAAAAGCAGAATAAAGTTTTGATGAGGCATTGGTATTAATGTTTACATATATACACAAATATTCACAGATATATTAAGCGTGTAATAAGCGGAAGAAGGGAAAGATATGACAGTTATAAGCTCTACCGATTCCCGTTGACATTCTAATGTTGGAGTAGGATTGTATATACAATTTACAGTGTCCATGATCTGCAATAAAACACAAGTTGTCAACTAAATGTGAAGCAACCAAGAGAAGAAAATACTAAAGAGAAAGAAAGAAGGCCCAGTTGGAGTGAAAAAAGAGACAGCTAGACGGTTGTCAATTTTTCATACGAAATACGCTTAATACCTGTTGTTTACATTTTTTCCAGCCCTAAGTTGATTGAGTTTGTCTCTCCATAAAGCTGGATTTGCATCAGAAACATGAGACATATAGTAACATTAGAAAACAATTTATAAGTCTCTTTAGATACATGCAGAAGAGTTTCTGAAAACTTCTCTACTGAAAATAAAAAGTTTTTCAAAAACAGTGTTAACTTATATTCAAACATGCTTTATATCGTACATAATAGGAAGCGTAATATTGTAATACTTTCATCCCAATTCAATGCAAGTGCCAAGGAAAAATCACTTAACTACACAAGTGGACTGGGTTTATAAAACACGTTTACTTCAAAATAAAACGGACAGGAAAACATGAACATATATGAAGCCTATCAACACCTAACATCAGCAGAGGAGTGGTTGTAATAATAATTGAAGTTACCTTATCCATTGCAGATTACTACAGATACAAATTCATTTTTTTATTTCAAGTGATGATATCATAGAACTCCAAATCAAATAGGTATAAGTGAGAAGCCGGAAAAGGTGTGATGCACTCCTGATAGAATTAGGAGAGAGAATAGTATACCAAATAAATTCTATAAAAGGAGATGAAGTTGGAAAAATTACAGGTTGACTGCTCAAACTGGTAAAAGTGACAATATAAAACCTGTACCGTAGAGTAGGGTAAACATCAATAGTGATTAGCAAACACTAACATCATACATGACATCCAAAGAGCTTTTGACATACATCATGCACAATGCAGAGGAAGAAAAAAGGTTCCAAAACTATAAATAAATAAAATAATAAGAAGAAAAAATAATTACCAGCATCTTGATAGCGCTCTTCTACAACAGCTTTCAACATGTTGTGCAAAAGATTGAACTCCTTGGTTTCAATACAAGGCTTACCACTTGGGCTGCAACCATGTCAATTTTAGTTAATACTAGTCTTTCAAGATGGAAAAAAGGGGCTAGTAATGAACCAGATTCTTCTTAGAGAACAGATATTATGCATGCTACAGACAATTCATATTGCCTTGCACATATTCAGAAACCTACCGGTCCAATTCAGTAAACAATATGCCATCTGAACCAGGAGATTGTGTTGACAGTTTGCCTGATTCAATTACTCTCATTCCATCACTGTATGCCAAATACTTGTTGACTTGTATAGGCACCTACACCATTGGTGGACCAATTAAATCTCTGATAAAGAAGTTTAATTTAAGTAATTTAAAGATTTGGAATTTGGTCCAAAGCTTGCAAGTTCAACAATGAGCAACATTTGCCAACACATTCCAACAGTGGATCCAAGGCATATGAATTATGAAATTTTGCCCAACAACTATGCTTTATTCAAAATAAAAAATATCAAATGTTTTTCCTCCTAGAAGCTCCCGACTTTTCTGACATCAACCAAGACACAAATCAACAACCACCAATCAAAGCAATAGGAGAATGTAATATGTTACAGGTGATATTACTTCATATGATTGAATTGACAAAGATTACCTTGCATCTCACCGCAATGTTGATAGCATCCGAAGGTCGAAGGTCAAAGCTCATACATACCGCCTCATTTCCGACCTATACCATGTATTAAGTTACACTGTCATACAACACTTTGGAGGATTTTGTTTTGGGAGGGGGTGGAAAAGAAGAGTGAAGAATTAGTAAATGCCTTGGAAAGGTATAACTGGGCAAAATATGCTTCGTGAACTCTCTTTGTAACTCTGACAACTCTGACCTGTATATGCAGGAAATTATATCATTTGAGATTTGACTATTAACATCATTACTAGAGCCTGAATGAGAGATTTGACAATTAAGTGCGTGCAACAGCACAAAGATAAAAAAAATCATACTTCGTAACCCATCTTGTCAATCATCTCCTTCACTACTTGGTATAAAGTAGGTCTAGCCTGATATTGCAACCGAATAGTTAGTATCCAGTGAGATATGTTACACAAAAGCATAATCATTCCGGATCCAAAAATTTGACTACTAAATACCAACACATCTAGGAAGAACAAGGAAAAAAGGCATCAGAATAAATGTTAGAGTAATAGATGACATACTATTTGAACATTGCGCACTGCTGCCATCAGTAAGACGCTAGGCATCTCCACTGCAAACAAATTCACAACAAGAGAGATATTGAATTACCAAAATTCAGATAAAAGGTCCAAGAAATAAGAAGTAAGCATATATGACAGAATCCACATAGGCAGTAAAAACATACAAACAATTATGGGGAGAAGTAGACCAGTCCCATCCTCCATCTTCAACACAATAGCAGGATGGGGTGCATAATCTGGAAGAAGTCCTCCATGAGGGTTATTATGGGTGCATCGCAATTGTCTACCATCCCTCATTTTAATCAGGAAACCATCTGCCCCACTCTTCACCTCAACTACACAACAAATATATTTTAATAAGAAATAAATAATGGACTGTAGTTATATTATGAGTCAATAGTGTATCATTTGATATATATCTTCATCTAATCACAAATTGGATTCAATGTAAAGAGATTTCATATTATCATCCAATCATAAAAGGATTTTACATTTGTCATACCTGATTACAAATTGTATTTTGCAAACCAATTGTCCACAAATTGTACAATAAGTTTGTTGATTATTATAAAAGTCATCTTATCATAGTTTTTGATTGGTTGAGAATTATGTTTGATTGACAGTTATGTTGATAGGTAGATAGAAATTAAAGTGATTATATTGATCATATTAATTACTAACAGATGATGCAGCACAATCAACCAATCTAAACTAAGATAACATACCAGCTTCAACAACACTGGAGTTAACATAATCTTCATCCTTTTCATCAAAATTCTCAGCCATGTTTCCGGTGCCATCAGAGGGCAAGTTGAAACTGCAATGCACAGTCTTGCACTTTCGCGCGTTTATGTGGCAAGAAAGCACACTGGCCTTAGGTTTGGTACAAGCGAGTCCCCAAAAATCACTTCTAACACACCGAGCGTTCATAGGCATAGGAACACTGCACACCTTCGCAAGGACAGTGTGGCAAACAACTGGCCCTTTAAGAGAACCCATTCTATCTATCTACACCAAAAACCTACACCAATTTTATATATATATATTTTTTTTTACGAAATTAGCGATTGTGTGAATGTTTTGATCGCAGAAAACGGATTAATTTAAATCGAAAAGCGCACCTTGAAGAATCAGTGGCCGATCACCGCAACAAGCATGAAAATTGAAAAATCTGGTTGTGACTTTAGTTTCAATTTGGAGAAAGTGTTTCAAATTTTATTGTTATTGGGATATAGTAATAAAAGATCGCGTGGGAATTGGAAAGGAAAACTGCGATCTGAAAATGAAAAGATAAGAGATTTTTGTTTGGCGAAAAGATCTTTTAAGTCCATTGATCCACCGCACGCATCAGCATCGGATAATAAAGTGAAATCACCATTCTACCCTTGCCTTTGTGTTCTTTTGCTCCTTCTAGAATCTAGATCACTTCACACCAACCTTGTAAATTTAGAATCAAAAGGATCCCAGATACAGAATGTGTCTGGAAAATTATTCATAGACACAACTCATTACATTCAACAAAATATTAAATATTTAATTCTTAACTTCTTGTTGGGATACATAGTTCATAAAAAGAAAAATTAAAGTTTGTTTAATCTTAAAAAATAAATAAATATATATATAGAACTTATTTTTTATAAATAAAAAATCCTTATTTAAAAAATAATTTATACGCTGCTTATTTTATTTTTAAAAAAAAAAACTTAAACAAACAAACCTCGTTTACATGATTTGTGGTGAACAAAAGTAATATAATAGAAAACATATATTTCTGATAATTATAAAATACTATTCATATATCAAAGTTTAAAAATAAATAAATTTAACATTATAAAAGCTCTTAGTTGAGTTCGTGGAGAAATTAGACACGTAAATGCTGTTTGAATAAAGTATGTATAATGTGACCGGCATTATTTTGTTGAGCAATCTTTTCTTCACGGCCACACTGAACAATGACAGGGAAAAAAATTGTACGTGTAAGAGAAATTGTAAAAAAAAATTCAGTATAATCAAATATATTCATAAATCATAAAAATCAATAATATATATAGACAGATAGATAAATAGAAAATATATATGTAATTTAGAGATGTCTATTTTTTTATTATTTTATCTTTATAATTATCTTAAATTATGTATTTTCTTCTATTATAAACAATTTAGTATTATTTTATTTTTATTTTACATTTTTTATTTTTTAAATAAAAATATAAAGTACTTATTTTAGTCTCACGTTATTTATTTTAATTTGATGTTTAATGTTTAACATTTTATTTAAATTGTTTAAATATTTCTATTGAATAAATTAATATTTTCTTAATTATTTGTACTACGCATATTAATGTTAGTTGATGCATCATCAAACATTTATCTACTATAACATCTCTCTTAGTTTATCTTATATTACCAAGTTAATAAGGTTATTATAAATAACGGATTTAATTAAACAGATATACTATAACGAATTAAAATAATTTGTTTTATTACCCTATTAAAATAAATTGTTTAAAACTTAAAAAAAAAAATGAATGAATGACGAAAAGTATGTTTTATCTAAGTTCATAATTTGGATAAAATACAGTTTTATTGGTAATGTACCTGATAGGCACTTAATTGAGAAAAAGGGTATTTACGTCTTTTGGTGATGTTAATATCAGAACCTCGGCCAGGCTGACAAATTTGGCATGGCGCCGGCACCCCAAACGAAAGTAGATGAAGATCACTGCATGACTGCCACGTGCGCAAACACATGTCCTACGATATGGATAACGTTTTATTTTATTATCATTTTCTTATTAAACTTTCAATTCCTAATATATATTTATCATGTAACTCATATTTACTTATTCTCATATAAGATAAGATGCTTCTTATTTTGTAATAAGTATTTTATGTTTTTTTATATATAAATTTTTATCTTCTTAGGAGTGTATTGATTTAGGATTTCATAGAATTTTAAAAGATTTTTTTTTTAGTAAAAAAGTTTGTCGGTATTCAATCAGAATTTTATGTCACTTAAAAATAATATAGTGGTATTCAATCAGGATTTTCAAGATTTTTTAAAGAGTCCATTAAAATTCATTGGTATTCATTTAAGACTTTTTACAACTTAAAAACAATCCTGATATTCAAAAATATAAGAATTTTAAAGGATTGTTATATTATAGGGATTTTGATAGACTTTTTAATGGTATCCATAAATACCAAATTCATAAAACAATCTCAGCCAAACCCATAAGATTTTGGAGGATTGTTTAAAGTGGCTTTTCAAGTGCTTCAAGAATTTTCAAATGAACTTTTTATCTCTTTTTTTTCTATGCTCATGTCTTCTTCATTTTTTTTTCTCTTGTTAATAATATTGCACTACCATTCTCCTATTTGGTAAAATTTTTATACGTAAATGATAGTGTCATTGACTTGTCTATTTTTCTCTCCGTTCTCTTTAATTGACTTGCTCTATTTTGGTCTATTTAATTGAGATTGTTCCTCAGTTATATAACACAAAAAACACTTGAAATTTTTACTTTTAAGTAGTAATTTTTTTATAACACTAGTCAAGAAAAGGGAAAGGTGAAAGTTAAAATTAATATCATGGTTTCTATAATCAACTATAAATCTTCAATACCTTGTAATCAATTTAGATTTATTAAAAATGTAAAAGATGAATTTGAGTTAGGGTTTCTGTAAGTAGAATGAGATAAGAATGGATTTTAGTTGGGGGAAGAACCCTCTCAACAAAAAAACTGCGATCTCTCTTCCTCTCTTAAATTTGTTATTGTTATCCTTCCCTTTTTATGACTCAACAATTATTTTATTTCTTTTTTTACTATGAATTTTATTTTTTTAATTTTTATATTATGAAATTAGGATTTTTATATTTTAAAAAAGAAAATTAACATAAGACATTGTAGTATCTTAGAATTCAATACCAAAAATATTTCTTTACGAGTGAATAATTGAAAGCAATTAAAAATTGAAAAAATTATTTTGTACCCGTAACAAATTTAATATATATATTTTTTCTCCCAATTTATGTTTGTAAATTTCTATTTTAGTACCGATATAAAATGAATGGACATATTTAGTTATAAGAGAGTAGGGTAGTTGTCCCACTATTTTTTAATCATTTATAAAATTATAAATAAAATATTTTAAATCACAAATTATAAAAAATTTGAAATGTTGTTTAGAATAATTTTTAGCATGTGTGGGACTACATAACTTTCTTCGTAAAAAATGTCATTACGATGAATTTCCAATTGAAGTGATGGATGAACCTTCATCCTCAACATTATTGGTTAATAAAAATCATAATTTTGAGCCTATTATTAAAACACAAGAGCAAGGACGAAAAGATACTAATATTTGGAGGACTAGTATAGCTATAAATATGTGGGTGAATTCTATTTAAAACGACATGATATTACGAAAAATTATTATTATTATTTATCCAGACATTATTTTTTTGATTTTTATATTTGACTCTTTTTAAATTTGAATGTATGAAAAAAATCATGAATTCTTATCCTGTGTCAAAAATTTATGAAAGTCTGCAAAGTTCACAAAATCTCGCAAAATCTATTAAAATCCTAACTTAAAAGTCTTGCATAATCCATTAAAATTATGATTGAAAGTCTTGTGAAATCCTACAAAATCTAAAAAGTCATGAAAATCTAAAAATGTCCTTTAAAATCTTAATCCTTTTAAATTTTTAGATGCAATTGTAAATTAATTATTATAAAAGCTAATAGACCTATTGTATTTGTATATAATAATATATAATTGAAAAATAATATAAAAAAATATTACCAGTATATTTTAAGTATTTTAAAAAAATATGATTTTTAATTGATTAATAATAATATAAAATATATATTAAACAAACGTTAAAATTTAATTTTATGATTTAGAAAGTGGCTTTAAATTGTAATTAGCAAAATAATGTTTTAATCATAAACGCAAAATATATAATATATTAATTAATAAGCTTATGACTTTTTCTACAAGAAGTTTATGATAATTTAACACCAAAAAGAAAAAACAGTTTATGATTAAAGTTAAAAATTCTTACGAACCCTTAATCTATATTCAACGGCGGAAAAGAAAGAATTTGTATTTGTGTCTAGGTGGAGATAGGAGATAATGTATGGTTATCGTTCGTTTTAGAAATAAAATTTATACTAATATAAAGAAATACTTATATTAGCAATTATTTTATTTTTTATATTTGATAAATGATGTTTTGAATTTTAAGAAACGTAACGATGAATAAAATGTGTATATTAAAAAAAATATGAATATATATGTAGATAAGTCTTAAGTTTCATTAATTAATAATTATATAAAATATATTTTTTATTTTTTCTTAAATTATTATTATCACCATCAACCACACTTATCATAATAGTTGGAGAGAAGAGTTAAAATTTGGAACTAGAAATATGGAAACATATACGTTCTTTATATGTCCATCTTTATAATCTTCTTTATATTGGTGACTATATTATTATTATTATTATTATTATTATTATTATTATTATTATTATTATAATATCTGGAATTTATAACTATTTAATAAAAGAAATAACTGGTTTACTTTTTGTAAAAAAAAAGACTAATTTATTTTTTAACTACTCTTTAAATTACCTATTACTGTATTTGTTAACTACTCTCTAAATTACTCGTTACTTATTTTGGACTGTCGTATTAAATTAATAGAAATATAAATCATTAAAAAATTAAATTTAATAGTTAAAAATAAAAATGTGGCCAGGCACGTAGTTTCAATCTTTCTACTAATAATTTATAACTGTACCAGAGAGACCGTATCGTGTACCGGAGAGACCGTATCGGTCACGTGGGCCAACACGTGCCATTTCGTCAGACACCCATGCATAGCCACGTACAAGCATCACCATCAACGTCGGCTCGGCATGAGGCCGAGAACCGACATCAGTCTGGTTAATGCAAATATGGACCATCATCATTCATCGAGTCGGCTCGGTCAGGTACCGTTCCGACATAGAACATACCGGAAGTATACAGGCTGCCGTATACGGACTAGACGGTTCGGTCATTTGCCGTTCCGACTAGTATTGATTAGCCGGCTCGGCCTCTTGCCGAAGGGTTAAGCAAGTCATAACAAGTAATCACAATCAAGAAAGGTAAGTACATGATTAAAGCCTAAACGACCAATTAGTACCGTATTACCTAATTTGGTAAATATCTGAGAGGGCCCATCACGCTCAGGCCCATGTCAGATGCTATAAATAGGTCACACGTAACAAGGTATGTCACTGTTCATTAATTATCCTAGAATATCGTACTTATCCTGACTTGAGCGTTGGAGTGCCTTTTGCAGGTGCCTCCCCCCTCTGAAGAATCCGTTTGAAGTATCC